AGTTAGTTAGTTAGTTACTTAGTTAGTTAGTTAGTTAGGTAGTTAGTTAGTTAGTTAGTTAGTTAGTTAGTTAGTTAGTTAGTTAGTTAGTTAGTTAGTAGTTAGTTAGTTAGTTAGTTAGTTAGTTAGTTAGTTAGTTAGTTAGTTAGTTAGTTAGTTAGTTAGTTAGTTAGTTAGTTAGTTAGTTAGTTAGTTAGTTAGTTAGTTAGTTAGTTAGTAGTTAGTTAGTTAGTTAGTTAGTTAGTTAGTTAGTTAGTTAGTTAGTTAGTTAGTTAGTTAGTTAGTTAGGTAGTTAGTTAGTTAGTTAGTTAGTTAGTTAGTTAGTTAGTTAGTTAGTTAGTTAGTAGTTAGTAGTTAGTTAGTTAGTAGTTAGTTAGTTAGTTAGTAGTTAGTTAGTTAGTTAGTAGTAGTAGTTAGTTAGTTAGTTAGTTAGTTAGTAGTAGTTAGTTAGTTAGTTAGTTAGTTAGTTAGTTAGTTAGTAGTTAGTTAGTTAGTTAGTTAGTTAGTTAGTTAGTTAGTTAGTTAGTAGTAGTTAGTTAGTTAGTTAGTTAGTAGTTAGTTAGTTAGTTAGTTAGTTAGTTAGTTAGTTAGTTAGTTAGTTAGTTAGTTAGTTAGTTAGTAGTTAGTTAGTTAGTTAGTTAGTTAGTTAGTTAGTTAGTTAGTTAGTAGTTAGTTAGTTAGTTAGTTAGTTAGTTAGTTAGTTAGTTAGTTAGTAGTTAGTTAGTTAGTTAGTTAGTTAGTTAGTTAGTTAGTTAGTTAGTTAGTTAGTTAGTAGTTAGTTAGTTAGTTAGTTAGTTAGTTAGTTAGTTAGTTAGTTAGTTAGTTAGTTAGTTAGTTAGTTAGTTAGTTAGTTAGTTAGTTAGTTAGTTAGTTAGTTAGTTAGTTAGTTAGTTAGTTAGTTAGTTAGTTAGTTAGTTAGTTAGTTAGTTAGTTAGTTAGTTGGTTAGTTAGTTAGTTAGTTAGTTAGTTAGTTAGTTAGTTAGTAGTTAGTTAGTTAGTTAGTTAGTTAGTTAGTTAGTTAGTTAGTTAGTTAGTAGTTAGTTAGTTAGTTAGTTAGTTAGTTAGTTAGTAGTTAGTTAGTTAGTTAGTTAGTTAGTTAGTTAGTTAGTTAGTTAGTTAGTTAGTTAGTTAGTTAGTTAGTTAGTTTGAAAGGAGAATGTAAATCCGAAAAAATACAGCTACCCACATATATGGGGTCTGTTGTGCGTTTCTTAAACAGTCAGGTGGGAATCGAAACCATCACCTCCGATCTACCAGACTACCAGTTACTTTATCCCAACAAATGTCCTGCATGTAATTAGGGTGCCCAAGACACCCACCACATATTCAACTGGCCAGCCAACCCTACTTCGCTCCTCCAATGGATTTATGGACGCATCCAGTTGAAGTAGCCCAATTTTTAGGCCTGGTAATTGATGTTAAACCCCCAACTAGATTATTGTATAGTTTTAGCTGTTACAACAACAACAACTGAAGGCCACAAGCGGCTACAGTTCCTTTATTTTATCTACGACTATTCATATTAAACTATTTTGGGGAAGGATATATTCATTTGAAAATTTTGTTATGTCATCTGTAAGTCTATTAAGACGACTTTAAAATAGAGTTTTAATCTCTTGTATATGTTCTTCCTTTTTTGTTTCACGAGATATTGTGTGTTAAAGTTTCAAAAAATCTGCAATTTTTGTTCATATTTGAGACGTTTTAGCTGCCTAAGGAAAACTTAATTTGTAAATTTTACTATGTCATCTGAAAGATCATTCAGTTGACTTTAAAATAAAGTAATAACATCCATTATAAGTTCTTCCTTATATGAGATATGTTAAACTAAAGCTTTAAGTTTCGACTTTTTTCAATTTTTTTTTTTTTAGAAACGATTTAAGTTTTATTTAGTATTAGAATTAACTTTTTTAGCAAGTTTTTTTTCAAGTTCATAATATTATTTTTTTTTTAATAAACTAAGACAAGTTTTTTATGCTAAAAGCGTGTCTTCAATTTATGCCTAATTTTAACCTTATTTTTTGCAAATTTTCTTAAATAATCAAAATAAACGACCTTTAAACAAACCGCCTTATACTAAAATTTACTTCTGACACCTGTTCTTGTTCTCTTAAAAATATCATTTTGAAAAATTCCAAATCAAATACTCAAATTTTGCTGAAGAAAAAAAAAATTCAATATTTAATTAAATATTTCCGCAAAAAATTCTCTAAGAATCTGTGTATTAGAAAATAGTCTGTTTTTATAGAAACAAACTACATTAGATTTGAAACAAAAAAAAAATATATATATAAAAATAATAATAAAAATTTGCATTTAATATTGTTTTCCTGTTGACCTCTAAACAAAAACTATATACTAAACACAATTAGCGAGACTAGCAGACAGACAGTTAGACAGATAGTCTAACAGACACATTTTAAAAGGTAACGTAAAAAATACTACAAATTTAAATAGTTTTAAGAGAACTAAAAACTATAAAACAAAACAAATTAAAACAAAATCAAGTAATAACTATTTCAACACCAGATAGTCAACAGATTTATGTAAAAATTATTTGGAAAAAATTTCTAGATTTTTTAACAATCCATCATACTTTCACTTCTTGATTTGAACCCAACATTTCAAAACATTTCTTTCTGTTAGATATTTCGCTTTATATTCCCATATAAATTATTCTTATAAAACAAATCTTCTATTTCCCCCTAGTTTGGCTACTCTTAGGGTTAAAACTTTCTTAGCTGTTAATTTCGAATTAATGTTATAATATTTTGGTAAAACAAAACATTTAGAAAAAGAAAAAAAAAAACACAAATAGAAAGAAAGACAAGTTCAATAAACTTTAAAAGACCCAAATTTTTAAACATTTTTTCTTCTTCAAATTATTATTAATTTTGTTTGAGTGTAGGTTTCAAGTATAAGAGTTCAAGAGAAAGCCCGTTAAAAGAGTTTGTTATAAAAAAGAGTAAAATTGTAAGAAAAAGAGAAAATACTTCGATCAGTTATAATAATTGTAATATGATCTTGTAAGTTGAGCTGATCAACACGAACTTATTTTGTTACGTTAACAGTTGTTAACGGCGCCAAGTTTTGCATAATTTATAAAAATTAAAAACTTTTTATGTAAAAAATTTTTACACTTACTATCTTGTTACTTTGCTAATTTCTTAGCCATTTAATTATGAAAGTTTTTCTTTATTAACGTTTACAGAAAATAAAACCCTAAAAGGGAAATATGCTGTTGAACATAATTGAAAATTTACATATTAAAAAACTATTATACTTAAGAAAAATCTTAAAAAATTACTTTATTTGTTATCAGCAAAACATTTCTGTTAAATTTTTAATAAAAATATTTCACCTATAACAGTTTTTATAGTTAGAATATAACAAAACTTATATAAATAAAACATTTTATTGTAGTTTTACACAAATTTTTTAATCTAAAATATGAAAAATATTTGATTTTCTGTTAGTATAACAGTTTTATAACTGTTATACTGAAACTTTTATACATATGTATAATGCTACTACTTAAATACTTTTACATTCATATATTACCTTAAAACAGTTAATTATTTGTAAATAATCGGAAAAATAAGTTTTTTCTTAGTATAACAGTTAGCAAAAACTGTTATACACTCGTTTTCTTCACCTCAAACATTTATATTTAACTTATAAACAATGTATTAATCAGAAATGTTAAATAATTTACGATTTTCTTTTAGTATAACAGTTTTATAACGGTGTCAATAACTGTTATACATACTTTTTTATTCCTCAGATATTTATATAGAACTTTATTTTTGTAAAAATAAGCTTTTTTCTCAGTATACCAGTTTTATAACAGTTAGCAAAAACTGTTATACTCGTGTTTTTGTAATTTTAAACATTTATACAGAACTTTAAAGCTATTTATTATTCAAAAATATATGGTTTTCTTTTACAGTTTTATAACAGTGAAAATAACTGTTATACATAGAATTATTTTTCTCAAACACTTCTATAAAACCTTAGAACAGTTTATAATACTAAAACATCGATAAAAATAAGTTTTGTTCTCAGTATAACAGTGCTATAACAATTAGCAATAACTGTTATACGCATACTTTTGTAATTTTTAACATATATCTAGAGTCTAGAAATTATGTATCAATCAAAAATATAGGGTTTTCTTTAAGTATAACAGTTTTATAACAGTTAAATTAACTGTTATACATGGAATCATTTTTCTCAAAAATGTATATAGAACTTTAGAACTGTTTATAAGACTAAAATTTTGAAAAATAAGTTTTTTTCTTAGTATAACAGTTTTATAGCAGTTAGCAAAAACTGTTATACACACATTTTGTTAATTTTAAACATTTATATAGTTTTATAACAGCGAAATTAACTGTTATACATAGAATTATTTTGTTCAAAAATTTTTATAAAACTTTAGAACAGTTTATAATACAAAAATATCGAAAAAATAAGTTTTGTTCTTAGTATAACAGTTTTATAACAGTTAGCAAAAGCTGTTATACAAAAATATTATCCTCCCAACATTTAAATAGTTCCATAAAACAATTTATTATTCTAAAGTATCGAAAATGTATAATTTTCTTTTACTATAACGGTTTTATAACACTTTTATAAAACTGTTATACAAAAAATTTAATTCTGCCCAATAATTAAATAGATATTAAGAACAATTTATTATTCTAAAATATCGAAAAATAGTTTTTTTCTTAGTATAACAGTGAATAAAAACTGTTATACACACAATATTCTTATTCCAGACTTTAAATCGATTTTTTAAAACAATTTATCATTCTTAAATATCAATAATATACAAAATTTATTTAGTATAACAGTTTTATAACACTTAAATACAACTGTCATACTACAAAAGTTCTATCTTAAGTAAGTCTATTCTAAAATTCCCCTCCTCTTTACACCTAAAATAAAAAATCTTAAACCCTTAACTAAAAGATCACCCTTTTTCTTTTTTTCTCTTTCCAGGAATTATGACACTGAGCCGTGGCCCTTACAGCGAGCTCGATAAAATGAGCCTTTTTCAGGATCTAAAACTGAAACGACGTAAAATCGATTCAAGATGCAGCAGTGATGGTGAATCAGTAGCCGATACCTCAACCTCTTCGCCAGACCTCTTAGCGCCCATGTCGCCAAAAATGTGTGATACCGGGGGAGGAGGCGGAGTAGGAGGTGGCGGTGGTGGCTCTAATGTGGCCAGTTCCCTACCCTTGGTAACACTAACCGCTACCACTTCTCTAACCACCACCACAACACCTGCCACCTGTTCAACTACTCAAGTGGCGGCTGAAGTTGTTGTGGCTACCGCTAAAGCAGTGGCAGCCGCAGTAGCGGTTAAAAATGAACAGTTGCAACAACAATTGCAGCAGCAGCAGCAACAACAACAACAAGAACAGACTGAAATTCATTCATCATCATCTTGTGGTGTGGTGGCTTCGACGGCTGCCACAACAATGATGACACCGCCTGCCCCCGTGCGAACTACACCGCCCATGAATACAGAAATGGCAGCGGCGGATAGTAATGAACGACGGACCCCCTTAAGTAATCGCGCCACACCTACACCGCCCCATAATAATGGTAATGCCAGTAGTAGTACGAGTAATGGTGGTGGCAGTAGTCGAGCATCACCCGATTCCATGGATGATAAACCCTCGACTACCACTTCCTCACCCATATTGTCAGCCAATGGTATGCTGGGAGCAAGTTTAGCGGGCGGTAGTGCGGGATCAGCAACAGGGTCCGTACAGGGTGGTAGTAATAATAACAATAATTCTGCCAGCAATATGAGTGTTATACGCTCGGTAAAGGAGGAAAGAATATTAGCTTCACCCACACGCATGATGGCCTATCACCATCATCAGCAGCAGCAACAACAACAGCAGCAGCAACATCAACAACTCATGCAGCAGCAACAGCAACAACAGGGTGGTAAAACACCCACCCAGTCTCAACAACATGTTACTGTCTTGGTAACACCATCTCGTATTAAGTCTGAACCACAACTACCGCCCCAACCCTCACACTCGCCATATTCCACAGCTGTTAGTGCTTCAACAACTACATCTACGCCATCTCCTCTACACAGCACCTCAACTACCAGCCATTATACCAGCTCTGCGCAACAACAGCAACTTCATCACCAACAACAACAACAACAGCAGCAACAACATCAACAACAGCAGCAGCAACAACAACATTCTAATCCTACGCCCGTACCACCAATAGTCACAACACATCACTTACATCAACAGCTTACCCAACCTCAGTTGCGCAAAAATAGTCCTCCTCATGATCTGCAATTGCCACCACAACATCACCACTTACTCACACAGTCAATGCAACATTTAACGCAGCAACAACAGCTGCAACTTCTACAGCAAGCGGCCGCCATGTCTAGACAAAATAATCCTGCAACGCGAGAAATGTCACCGAGCGCTTCAATGTCGCCCAGCTCCAGACATTCATCCTCGAAATCGCCACAACAACACATGATGCAACCGCAACAGAATATGGGCGGACAACATGTGCGCATTAAGAAGGAACCTCCTACAATGCAGAATCACAATCCCAATTTTGGCAACGGCGGCAATGGTCCCCAGAGGCATCATTCACCGCATCATTTTATGCAACAACAGCCGCCAAATCAACAGCAGTCTCCACAGGGACCTCAGCCGCCACAATTGCCACCGCAGGCTTTGGGTAACATGGCTCAAGCCTTAATGCATCCTGCATCGCTGCAGAATTTAAGGCATCCGAATCGGGATGCAGCCTTATTATTTCGTGTTAAAAACGAAGTACAGCAACAGGTGGCGGCGGCAGCAGCAGCGGCTGCTGGTCTGCCTCAACTAATGCAACCGGGTGCTGCTGCAGTAGCAGCTGCGGCTCAGCGCATGGTTTGGGTATCGAATGCCCGCATTAATGGTGTAAAACCTGAGGTAATAGGTGGTCCCATGGGCAGCATACGACCGGGTGGTCCCGGTCAATCACCCTCGCCTCACCACTCTTCATCATCAGCCTCCTCAACATCACAACTATCGCCGCAAACACCCTCACAAACACCACCCAGAGGTACTCCCACCGTCATCATGGGAGAAAGTTGTGGAGTGCGTACCATGGTTTGGGGCTATGAACCGGCGGCACCACCCACTTCAGCCGGCTCGGCCAGTCAGTCTCCAAATTCACATCACCACCAGCAGCAACAACATCATTTATCACATCAACAAATGGGCGGTGGAGCGCCGCCCTCGTCATTACAATCCCAGCCACATCACTCGTCACAGTCATCGTTGAATACATCCTCATCGTCACCTTCAGCTGGATCTCTAACGCCCACACATACCCCAGGACCTTCGCCACAAAATAACGAAGAAGCCGCTCAACTACTGCTGTCACTGGGTCAAACGAGAATACAAGACAACCGACCAAGACCGCCACATGCCTTTCGTACGCCCGGTGCTCTTAATATGGAAAGACTATGGGCCGGAGACTACTCACAATTGCCGCCTGGTCAACTTCACGCTCTTAATCTAAGTGCAGCGCAACAGCCCTGGGGAGGTGGTAGCTCAAATACCACCGGTCTAGGCCGAGGTCTCGATAATCCCCATGAACCAACCGATGAAGATGAACAGCCATTGGTGTGCATGATCTGCGAGGATAAGGCCACGGGTTTACATTATGGTATTATTACATGTGAAGGGTAAGTTTGAGAGAAATTTGGGAGCAATTTCCTAGATTATTCATTTGTCTTTTCTTGCAGATGTAAAGGTTTCTTTAAGCGTACCGTACAAAATCGACGGGTGTACACTTGCGTGGCAGATGGCACCTGTGAAATAACCAAAGCTCAACGGAATCGTTGTCAGTATTGTCGTTTCAAAAAATGTATTGAACAGGGCATGGTCTTGCAAGGTAATTGAGAAACAAGAAAACAGATTTCGGCATTCGAAATCGTTTGAAATTTTCATAAAATTTAAAGGAATATTAATTAGGATTTCGAACGCTTCCGAATGCCTTGGACCTTAATTATAAAATATAGATTATTTTATGATCCTTTTTTATATCTTATACTCTCTAGCTGTTCGTGAAGATCGCATGCCAGGCGGCCGTAATAGCGGCGCTGTTTACAATCTCTACAAGGTCAAGTACAAGAAACATAAGAAGAGCAAACAGCAGCAACAACAACAACAGCAGCAGCAACAACAACAGCAATCGCCTCAACAACATTCACCGCTGCATCAGCAGCATCATCATCAGACACAACTGTCACCGCATCATCATCAGGCACATCTCTTTATGCCACAGCAACAACAGCAGCAATTGCAACAGCAACAATTTGCCGCCGCTGTGGCAGCAGCCGCCCATCAGCAACAAACCAAATTATTAGGTGAAATGAAGCCCATGTTCATGAGTAAAGAGCAGCAACAATCGATGCATTCACCACATCACCAGCAAGCAACGCAATCGCAACCACCACTGGGGCCGCCACAACAACCTCCGCCGCATTTAGCCTCTCCCCATCATCCGTTGCATGCGTCAGCGGGTGGTCCGGGAGGTCCACTGCATAGTCCCGTTGCCAGCGGTCCGCAACAGCAAACATCACATCATCATGCCGCCTCAGTGGCGCCACCGCAACATGTGGCCCACCAGCCGTCAGCAGCTTCACAAAGACCTACGACGCCCCAAGAGACTGCTATGAAAATACCCTCGCATTTGGTAAATGGTACCATACTTAAGACTGCTCTCACGAATCCTAGCGAGATAGTGCACCTACGACACCGACTCGATTCGGCGGTTAGTTCGTCTAAAGATCGTCAGATCTCCTACGAGCATTCGCTATCCATGATACAAACTCTGATAGACTGTGATGCCATGGAGGACATAGCCACCTTGCCGCATTTCTCCGAATTTCTCGAAGATAAATCGGAAATCAGTGAAAAACTGTGCAACATTGGCGATTCGATTGTTCACAAACTGGTGTCGTGGACTAAGAAACTGCCCTTCTATTTGGAAATTCCCGTGGAAATCCATACCAAACTTCTTACGGATAAATGGCATGAAATTCTCATTCTAACCACAGCCGCCTATCAGGCACTGCATGGTAAACGGCATTCTTCATCCACCCATTCGGCCACTTCGACCAGCAGTTCAACTTCTTCGAATTCTTCGGCCTCCTCGTCATCCTCTTCGCCAACGCAGCACAACCACAGCAACAATCATGCTTCGTCAACATCACCCCCTCACATAACAACACATCCTGCCTTAGTACATAAAGAAGATCCCGAATTTGTGGCCGAAGTTAATGCTCATCTAACGACTCTGCAAACGTGTTTGACTACACTCATGGGCCAGCCGATTGCTATGGAACAATTGAAATTGGATGTGGGTCATATGGTGGATAAAATGACACAAATAACCATCATGTTTCGGCGTATTAAATTAAAAATGGAAGAATATGTTTGTCTAAAAGTCTACATACTCTTGAATAAAGGTAAGTTAATTGGAAGGGGACTAAAGTGTGGAATTATTAAAATTTTGCGAAATTTTTTCATTGTTTGTTTTTCAGCAGAAGTGGAACTGGAAAGTATACAGGAACGTTATATACAAGTGTTGCGTACATTCTTGCAACATTCATCGCCACAAAATCCACAAGCCCGCCTTAATGAACTACTCTCCCACATACCAGAGGTGAGTTGTTAACTATTTGAGATATATTTTAGGAACAAGAAGTGAAAGATTTCCATGAAAATGGTTTCAATGTTTTGAATTATAGAAATTATGTAAGTACTGAACTAGAACTAACTAAACTGAACTAGAACTGAAATAGAAACTGACTAGAACTGAACTGAACTAGAATGAACTAGAACTGAACAGAACTGAACTAGAACTTACTAGAACTGAACTAGAACTGAACTGAACTGAAAACTAGAACTGAACTAGAACTGAACTAGATCTGAACTGAACTGAACAAATGAACTAGAACTGACTAGAACTGAACTACTGAACTAAACTGAACTATGAACTAGAACTGAACAGAACTGAAAACGAATAGAACTGAGACTGAAACTAGAACTACTAGAACTGAACTAGAACTGAACTAGAACTGAACTAGAACTGAACTAGAACTGAACTAGAACTGAACTAGAACTGAACTAGAACTGAACTAGAACTGAACTAGAACTGAACTAGAACTAGAACTGAACTAGAACTGAACTAGAACTGAACTAGAACTGAACTAGAACTGAACTAGAACTGAACTAGAACTGAACTAGAACTGAACTAGAACTGAACTAGAACTGAACTAGAACTGAACTAGAACTGAACTAGAACTGAACTAGAACTGAACTAGAACTGAACTAGAACTGAACTAGAACTGAACTAGAACTGAACTAGAACTGAACTAGAACTGAACTAGAACTGAACTAGAACTGAACTAGAACTGAACTAGAACTGAACTAGAACTGAACTAGAACTGAACTAGAACTGAACTAGAACTGAACTAGAACTGAACTAGAACTGAACTAGAACTGAACTAGAACTGAACTAGAACTGAACTAGAACTGAACTAGAACTGAACTAGAACTGAACTAGAACTGAACTAGAACTGAACTAGAACTGAACTAGAACTGAAGTAGAACTGAACTAGAACTGAACTAGAACTGAACTAGAACTGAACTAGGACTGAACAAGAGCTGAACTAGAACTGAACTAGAACTGAACTAGAACTGAACTAGAACTGAACTAGAACTGAACTAGGACTGAACTAGAACTGAACAAGAACTGAAATAGAGCTGAACTAGAACTAAACTAGAACTGAAACCGATCTTGATTGAACTAAAAGGATTTGATCAATAATATTTTTCTCTTTTTTCACTCCTCCTCTTCCAGATCCAAGCTGCTGCTAGTCTTTTATTGGAAAGTAAAATGTTCTACGTTCCCTTCGTTCTCAACTCCGCCAGTATAAGGTAGCAAATGCTTCAACGTGGTCTATTAACAATTGCCGAACAACAACATCAGCAGCAACAACAACAACTACAACCGCCTTATGAGACATCAGCAAGAGCAACAGCAACACATGAAATTAATCTTTTAAAAGAACAAGAACACTTAAGCAACAAACGCAGCAGTAATCGAGAAGAAACAAATGAACAGTTTAGAGAAAGAATAAATTGTTTACCCATTATCGAAATGCCACAAATAAAAATTGAACGAGATGTGGAATACATGGAGGGTATAGAAGAAGAGGAACAGGAGCAGCAGCAGCTGCAAGAAGAGTTGCTAACTAGAGAGCAGCAAGAGAAAATAAGAGATGAAACACAACCCATGGAGGTGGAACAGGAAGAGTTGCATATTAAGCCTGTGCCACAGTTATTGGAACCTACATCAATCTTAAAGACTTCTTTACTAACGGGAGCAGCAAATACTTTAGCTACTTTAACAGCGGCTGCAGAACAAATCGCTAGAATGCCAAATGAAAGTTTAACAAAAAATTATCCTTATTTTAAGGAGGAAAATAAAAGAACTTATACAATAGAAGCAGAGGAGCCGGTAAGCAAAGTAGCCACGACCACAACTTATACTTCTATATTACAAACAGCATTGATGTCTAAACGTCCAGCAACATTAAATGTTGCAGCAGCAACTTCCACCTCCACCTCCTCCTCCGCTGGATCAGCGGCCTTAACAACTAGCAAAACTTTACATGTAAGAACACCAGATCAAGTTTTAAAGACTGCCGTTACTTTGGCTACCTTAAGTGAAATTGCAGCACAGCAAGAACAGCAGCAGTTGCAACAACAGCAACAGCCTCATATATTGGTAGTGCCTCAAGTGCAACCAACTTTACGTAAAATGTGTACACTGCCTTTTAAGAAATTAAATTTTGCCAATGTAACAACTTCATCAACAACAACATCATCAACAGCAACATGTTTAACAAACACTGCCTCTTCAAATACCACTACAACAACAGTAGCAGCAGCAGCAGCAGCAACTACCACTACCATTACAAATAATTATTTAGGTTCTAATATTAAAACAAATACTAATTTAACTAATAGTAGTAGTTGTATAATAAATACAAATAATCAGGCGGCTTCAAACAACAGAGAAAAACCAACAACCCCAACAACAACAACAACAACAGCAACATTTTTTGATACTAACAATCTTATAAACAATGTCACTATATGTAGCAACAGCAACAACAGTAATTTACTTACAAACTTTCATAATCAGACGCTTAAGATTCCCTCTATTAAACCCCAATTGGTGACCACACAAACACAAACCGAGGAAACAAACTCCTCTTTAGCAACCTCCTCTTCAAATAATTATAGTAATAGTGCATCTTCATTACAAACAGCCAGCTGTAGCGGACTGTTAAGGACTGCCGTGTCAACAAATATGAAAATGTTGACACAAAACTCATTAAACACTTCATTAACCAATAAATTTCCCTGTAAAACTAAAATTTCATCAAACGAACAAGTGGCCTCATTAGAAGCAACAAATGTTGCTGAAACAGTAGTGGGCAACATTGTTAAACATGTTTCCCCTAATAGTAGTAGTAGTAGTTCTACTTTAACTAAAATGAATGTTATTAAAACAAAAACTACTGCCCCCCCTGCCGCCACTAATACTTTAGAGTCATCAAACGAGCAGCCTAATGCTGTTAACAACACTGCCACCAATGTTACTGTTGTTGTTTTTGAAACATTGTTATCTGAGGACTGAAAACTTTGTTTATAAACATTTTATTATTTTTAATCTTTGCTTTCTTTTAACCCTTAAAACCTTTTCCCCTTTTTGTTACCCCACCTTTTTTTTGTTTTTAATTTTTAATTATTAAAAAAAATTGCTTTGTTTGCTTATATAATTTTTAAGTATTTTTTGTTTAATATTTTTTTTATAAATAAATAAATATTTGTATACAAATTGTATTTTTTTTGTCCTAGTTTTTATCCATAAACAAAAACTAAATTTAAACATTATATAATATATTGTTTAAATTTGTTTTATAAACTTTAAGTAAAATTAACTATTTTTATTAATGTTTTATTACTATGTGTGTATTTTTTTCGTGTATAATTATTAAATAATTTATTATTAAGTCAAATTTTTTTTTATATACATTTAAAAAAAAAAAAAACAAAATGTCTGCAACACTATACAAAATTATGGACTTTTTTTGTAGTTTAATCTTGTATTTGTTAAGCTTTTATTATTATTACTATTTTTAACTATAAATATAAATATATTTTTTAGTTTTTATTAATTTTTAGCAAACAAAAAATCCCAAATAATTTTTTTTTAATTAATAATATAATTTTTTTTAGCTTAAACAATTGTTTTCTTTTTTGTTTTTTTTATAAAAAAAAAAAAAAAAATTATGTGTATTTTTTTCTGTGTTTTTATTTTTTTGTAATTGTTAATTATTAATCTTCTATAAATATTATATATATACAACTATAAAGAAAAGAAAAAAAAAAATAATTATGAAATAAAACATTTTTTGCAAGGCTTCTTTTTAAAATATTAAAACAAAACATAAAAAAAAAAAACATACAAATCCTACAAAAACAAATCCTTTTAATAAAACAAAAATTTTCAAACAAAAAAAATCTAACACTGTTCTTTTTAAAATAATTTAATTATTTATAATTATTTAAAATTAATCGAAAACTTAAGCATGTTGCTGGATAATAAGCCACAAATATAAAGCAACATTTCATTAGAAACATTTTCAATAATTGATAAAAAATTCAAAATATTTAAATGCTTATAACATAATAAATGTTTCTGAAACAAAATGTTTAAAAACAACATGTTTTGAATACAAAATTATGTATAACAACATGTTGCTAACAAAAAATAATAATATTTTACTAGTAATGTATAAACGTTTTTTAATAACTAAGTTTATCCCATTCTTAACAACTGAATTTCTTAACAACATGTTGCTAAGGCAAATTTTCATACAACCTATTCTTATTTCTAAACAAATCTAAAGCAACATTTCATTAGAAACATTTCCACTAATTGTTAAAAATTTAAAATATTTAAATGTCCATAAAATAATTAATGTTTCTGATACAATATTCTAAACAACAATATGTTTTGAATACAACATTTTGTATAACATCATGTTGATAACAAAAAGAATTAAAAAATAATAACATTTTACTAGAAATGTTTAAACTTTTTTTTAATAATCAAGATTATCTCATTCTTAACGTTTGAATTTCTTATCAACATGTTGCTGAGGCAAATTTTCATACAACATAAACTTCTAATAATTGATATAAATTGTAAATATTTAAATGCCCATAGAATAATAAATATTTCTGATAAAAAATTCTGAACAACATGTTTAAAATGCAATATTTTGTATAACAACATATTGCAAACTAAGGAGTTATAATATAAAAAAAAATTTACTAGAAATGTATAAACCTTTTTTAATAAACAATATTAAACAATTTTTAACATTTAAATTTCTTAACAACATGTTGCTAAGACAAATTTTCATACGACCTAATCTTATTTCTAAACAAATCTATAGCAACATTTCATTAGAAGCATTTCCACTAATTGCTAAAAATTCAAAATATTTAAATGCTAATAAAATACTAAATATTTCTGATACAAAATTCTAAACAACAACATGTTTAGAATACAAAATTTTGTATAATAACATGTTGCTAACAAAAAATCAAAAAATAATAACATTTTACTAGAAATGTATAAAATTTTTTTTAATAAATAAGTTTATCCTATTCTTAACATTTAAATTTCTTATCAACATGTTGCTGAGAAAAATTTCCATTCAAAAGTTTAAAACTTAAGCAACATTTCATTAGAAACATTTCCACTAATTGTTAAAAATTAGAAATATTTAAAGGCTAATAAAATACTAAATGTTTCTGATACAAAATTCTAAACAACAACATGTTTTGAGTACAACATTTTTTATAACAACATGTTGCTAACAAAAAGAATTAAAAAATAATAACATTTTACTAGTAATGTATAAACTTTTTTCAATAACCAAGATTATCTCATTCATAACTTTTGAATTTCTTATCAACATGTTGCTGAGGCAAATTGTCATACAACAATTTCAATATAAACTTCCAATAATTAATATAAATTGTAAATATTTAAATGCTCATAACATAATAAATATTTCTGATACAAAATTCTAAGCAACAACATGTTTAGAATACAAAATTTTGTATAACAACATGTTGCAAACTAAGGAGTTATAATATAAAAAAATTTACTAGAAATGTATAAACCTTTTTTAATAAACAATATTTACCAATTTTTAACATTTAAATTTCTAAACAATATGTTGCTGAGGCAAATTTTCATACGACCTAATCTTATTTCTAAACAAATCTATAGCAACATTTCATTAGAAGCATTTCCACTAATTGCTAAAAATTCAAAATATTTAAATGCTAATAAAATACTAAATGTTTCTGATACAAAATTCTAAACAACAACATGTTTAAAATACAAAATTATGTATAATAACATGTTGCTAACAAAAAATCAAAAAATAATAACATTTTACTAGAAATGTATAAACTTTTTTTTAATAATTAAGTTTATCCCATTCTTAACATTTGAATTTTTTATCAACATGTTGCTGAGAAGAATTTTCATTCAAACGCTTAAAACTGAAGTAACATTTCATTATAAACTTCCATTAATTGTTAAAAATTTTAAATATTTAATGTCCCTAAAATAATTCATGTTTCTGAAACAAAATTTTAATCAACAACATGTTTTGAATACAACATTTTGTATAACAACATGTTGCTAACAAAAAGAATTAAAAAATAATAACATTTTACTAGTATGTATAAACTTTTTTGAATAACCAAGATTATCTCATTCTTAACGTTTGAATTTCTTATCAACATGTTGTTGAGACAAACTTTCATACAACAATTTCAATATAAACTTCCAATAATTAATATAAATTGTAAATATTAAAATGCTCATAACATAATAAATATTTCTGATACAAAATTCTAAACAACAGCATGTTTAGAATACAAAATTTTGTATAACAACATGTTGCAAACTAAGGAGTTATATTATAAAAAAAATTTACTAGAAATGTATAAACCTTTTTTAATAAACAATATTAACCAATTTTTAACATTTAAATTTCTTAACAACATGTTGCTGGGGCAAGTTTTCATACGATCTAATCTTATTTCTAAAGAAATCTAAAGCCACATTTCATTAGAAGCATTTAAATATTTCGAATTTTTAGCAATTAGTGAAATGTTGCTTTAGATTTGTTTAGAAATAATGTTTTTGAAACAAAATTTTCAGCAACAACATGTTTAGAAAACAAACTTTTATATAACAACATGTTGCTAATAAAGTAATTAAAAAAGTTAATAACATTTTAAACGAAATTTATAAACTTTTTTTACTTATAAGATCCATTTTCTATATTTGAATTTCTTATTAACATGTTGATGAGAGAAAATTTCCACGCAAAAGCTTCTAAAATGTTTCTAATACAAATCCAAACAAATCTACAGCAATATTTCAATATAAAGTGCCACTAATTGATAACAATTGTAAATCTTTAACTGTCAATAAAATATTAAATGTTACAGATACAAAATTCTAAACAACAACATGTTTCTGATACAAATATTCTAAATAATAACTTAATGCAAACATAATAGATAAAAATAATAAAAAATAATAACGTTTTACATCAAACATTTAGCGTATTACCATTTCTAATCAACATGTTGCAGATACAAAATTTTGCACAACAGCTTTAAAAAAATTGCTTTTTTTTCTGAAACGCTGCTAATAAAATCTATAGGAATTAAAAGCAATTCAAAATGTTTACTGTTTCCTTTACAAAATTTCGAATAACAACATGTTTCTGATACCTAATTTTGAATTCAACATGTTGCTAACAGAAAAACAAAAAAAAATAACATTTTAGTAGAAATTTAAAAAATGATTCCAATTATTAAGATTAACAATTCTTTTTCTATTTTTCTTGTCTTATCAACATGTTGCTGATATATATTTTCACACGACAACATTTAAAAATTAGCTCGATATAAAAAAAGTTATTACTAAAATGTATTAATATTAAATTCAACGATTACAATATAAAATATTGCATGTTTCTGATACAAAATTACGTGTAAGGAGATCTTTTTGAAATGAAATTTTTAATAACAACATGTTGCTGAACATTATATAAATATTATTATTGAAAAATAACGTAAAAATTTGCCAAAAAAAAATATAATTATTTCTTGAAAACATATTGCCAATACTAAATTTTTCAAGACGACTTTAAAAAAAATCATTGGATAATATTAAGCTTGTGCTTATTTCTTAACAACATGTTGCTAATAGAAAAATTTCTTCAGGCAACATTTAAAAAACATTAAATAAAAGTTGTGCATGTTTCTAAAACAACATTTTTTATAACAACATGTTGCTAATCACTTAACCTTCTAAAGATTTCTGTTTTTTAACATTTCTTTCTTAACAACATGTTGCTGAACTTTACATTGTAGGCCTTCGAAAAGACATATGTACTTAAACACTCAGCCCAATTCTGCATTTCAATTCGAATAAAAATTTCCTCCTTTCATGTTCGGCATTTCGATCTGACTCTAAAATAAAACTTAGCTATGGTCGTAATGTAGATTTCACACACCTTTTTCGATCGTTACACAACTTAAAATCCAGAATAGTATAAAAACGTAGCTAGGATCATAATGCCGAATACATAGAATCGAAATTGAATTGGTCTTCTTTTTCTTACGATTCCGCTTCTTTGCTGGAATACCTTTTTTTGATCGTTGCGTAACTGAAAACGGAAACGTTTTCGAAATACGGAATAGTAGTGAACAACTTATAAAATCATAGCTAAGATCGTAATGCA